CAACAGCCACTGCTGATATTACGTCTTCATGCGAAACACCGTACAGCTGCTGCTGTTCCTGCTGCTTCTGCTGCGCTTGTTGCTGCTCTTCCTGCTGCTTCTGCTGCGCTTGTTGCTGCTCTTCTTGCTGCTTCTGCTGCGCTTGTTGCTGCTCTTCCTGCTGTCGCTGCTGCAGCTTCGTTTGTTGCGCTTGCTGCTGCTGCTGCTGCTCATGTTCTTTTTGTTGTTTGTTTAATATCTTCTGCTGGTTGTCGTTTTCTGCTTCTGCTGCTGCTGTTGCTGCTGCTGTTGCTGCTGCTGCAGCGTGAATTTCTGTTTCAATTTGTTGCTCTGCTTCTGCTGCAGAGGAGACAGACAGCAGCGCCTCCTCTGCTGCTGTCTCCTTGCTGCTGCCTCTTGGGGTGGGGGCGCTCTGAGCTGCAGCAGCAGCAGCAGCAGCAGCAGCAGCAGCAGACACAGGAGGCACATGAACAGCTTTATCTGTTTCTGCAGCACCAATATCATCAACACCGCCCTGCTGCTCGCTGCTGCTGCTGCTGCTGCTGCTGCTGCTGCTGCTGCTGCGGGTGCATGCATGAGTAGGCCTGACGCTGTCTTCCCTATCGCTTCCGCTGCTGCTGCTGCTGCTGCTGCTGCGGCTGCTTTTGTTTTTGTTTGTGAATTTGCTTCCTCTCTGTTTGATGTTTGTTTGCTTCGTTTGTTTGTCTGCATGCAGCCTAAAGGGGCCCAGAGAGCGAACAGCAGCAGCAGCAGCTTTAAATGCAACTAAATCGCAAGGGCTGCTGTCAGCACACAAAGATTCTGCTGCTGCTACTGCTGCTGCTGCTGCTTCTGCTGCTGCTGCTGCTTCTGCTGCTGCTTCTTCTGTTGCTGCTGCTTTTGCTGCTGTTGCCTCTGCTGCTGATGCTGCTGCTGCTAGAGGGAGGCTGCTGCTGCTGCTGCTGCTCCTGGGGGCGTGAGGTGTATAGCCAGCTGCAGCGAAGGGCAGCAGCGCCGCGGTATCTGCTGACTGCAGCAGCAGCAGGAGACATACAACAAATCAAACAAAAAGAGAAATAAAATTTGTTAATAGACATATAAAACAAACAAATAAACAAATTTCAGTCAAAGCTCCTATGCAAACCACCACCCTGCTGCTGCTGCTGCTGCTGTAGCTGCTATTACTGCTAATGCTGCTGCTACTGCTGCTGCTGCTGCTATTGATGCAGCAGCAACAGGCACAATGGGAGCAGCCGCAGCAGGAGCAGAAGCAGCAACAGCAGCAACAACAACAGCAGCAGCAACAGCAACGGTAACAGCAGCACCAGCAACAGCAGCAACAGCAGCACCAGCAGCAACAGCAACAACAACAGCAGTAGCAGCAGCAGCAGCAGCAACAACAGCAGCAGCAGCAACAACAGCAGCAACAGCAGCAGCACTTTACTTGAAATATTTCATTGATTGTCTGCTGCAGCAGCAGCGCCACTTCGTCGATGTCTCTTCGCAGCAGCAAATCTGCTCGCGAGGATAAAAAAGGAGACAAAAAGGATTGAAGTTTTAGCTGAAAAACAAATTAAATACAACTATAATAATATAATTATAATAATATAATTATTATAATATACTTATAATAATATAATTATTATAATATACTTATAATAATACAATTATAATAATATAATTATAATAATATAATTATAATATTATGATAGTATGTATGTATATATATATATATATATTAATATTATATATTATGATATGAGATATATATGATAATATAATAATATAATAATATATATAATATAATAATATATATAAATAGAGAAATATGAATGAAGTTCTAAGTCAAGCAAACAAATTAATTAAAAATATAATTATAGTAATATAATTATAATAATATAATTATAATAATATCAAGACAATAAAAATAATAATGACTATAGCAATAATATTATTATTATTATATATAAAATATGCTATTATTATTATTATTATTATTATTAGCACGTGAAAATAAAGAAAGAAGAGCAAAATAAATAAACAAACATCAAACAAAGAGACAAAGCAGCAAAAAGATGAAAGCAAAGACACAAAGACAAACAAAAAATAATGAACAGAGAGACAGAGGGAGAGAGACAGAGAGAAGACAATAAACAAACAAACAAACAAATAAATAAATAAATAAATAAATAATAATATAAATAAATAAATAATAATATAAATATATCTGTCTGTACACTACGCACATCCAACACCAATTCTAAATATGCGGCTGCAGATATTTTTTCGCTGTCTTCGTTTTTTTTTATTTTGTCTTCGCTCTCTTTATCTTTTTGTCTTTTTGTCTGCTCTTCTTTATTTAATTTTAAAGACAAAACATTTTCTTCTAAAGGAAACTAAAAGGCAAAACAATCGCAACACACACACAAACACAAACACGAGGCTTACAGACAGCTAGCTAGCTAGCTAGCTAGCTAGCTGTAAAAGGAGCTAGCTAGCTAGATAGACAAATAGCTAGCTAGATAAGCAGCTAGTGAGGTACGTTGCTAGTTAGCTAGCTAGCTAACTAGGTAGACCACGCACAGCTAGCTGAATGTTTACTCCAGGGGTGGATAGATCTATAACCTAAACCCTAAACCCTAAACCCTAAACCCTAAACCCTAAATACCCGCAAGGCGATGGTGCTGCGGAGTCTGCTGCCTTTGAACGCCGCTTGAATTTTCGCAGCTGCGAAATTCTGCCGAATTAAAAAAATAAAAAATATAAAAAAAGAAAATAATAAAAGTCAAGCAAAAAAACACAAAAGAAAAAATTAATTATATTAATAAATAATAAATAATTTATTATCAGTTTATTAATTTAAGATGAAAAGATAAAAGACATTTAAAAGAAAAAAGAAACAACAACAAAATTCAAAATGAAGAAAAAGATAAAAAGATTAAAATAAAAAAATAAAAAGACAAACAAAAGATCAAAGATATTCTTTAAAACAAAAGAAAAACATAAAAAGAAGTTTTAATAAAAAGATAAAAACATAAGAGAGGTTTGGGGCTGCATGCAGAAGAAAACATGAAAAGTAGGGTGGCTTTGTTTGTTATATTTAGATGCCTATACACCTCAAAATAGCTCTTAGCCGCAGCATAAGCAGCAGCAAAAGCAGCAACAGCAGCAGCAAAAAGAGCAGCAGCAACGACAGCAGCAGCCTCACTTGCAAGAACATTTGAATTGCATCTGTCTCCTTTTCTTCAGCTTCTTTTTTTATTTCTTTTTTTGTCTCTGCTACCCTGCAACAAACACAAACAACAAACTGCAGCAGCAATAAACGCATGCAAGCACCAGCACATATATATATTATATATATATTATATATATATATATATATATTATATATATTATATATATACAAAACATATAGCGAAGACCCTAATTGAAGTGTACGCAACACAAAAAAATAACAAAGACATCGGCTAGCTACGCATGCAAACAGCAACCTAGCTAGCTAGCTAGCTACGCATGCAAATAGCTAGCTAGCTAGAGAGAGAAG